AGAGGGGCAGAACATGGAACAGAAACATTTCACATCTGATTCTTACATTTTATTTCTTATTTTATAATACGCTTTTTACATCCAGATGGAATGTGCACTCCACATCATTTTATTATACAGTAGTAGTCCAAATATTTATTAATGAGATTTCATTAATTTCAAAAACATTTCAAAACTTCACATATGTTTTATATACAGAAGTTCATTTTACCTTTTATTACGAGTATGACGTTTACATCGCTAGTGTTGCTGGTCCTACACCTTTACCATCCTCCATCCTCTGCAGTCAGGTGTGATATGAGCAGAGAGAGATTTCCTGGAAGATGATCATTAAAGAGCTGAACTCTGTCTGTGTAGCGATTTGTCTGGTCCTTTGGGAAGATCTTTATGCGATCAGAGCCTTTAAAAAAGATCCATCTGAAAGTGTGTGGTTTGGCTTGTAGTTCAGAGCAGGAGCAGGGCAGAAGGACAGACTGTCCCACGTATCCAGTCACAGTCACTGTCTGACGATTCAGTGTGCAACCTGGAGAATGAACAAACATCAACATATTGCATTGCTGTTACAACATCAGATTAATCTGTCATGAGATTATCACTGAAGTAGCATTGTGAATAAAAATGAGTCGTTTACCTTTAACAGTGAGTCTGAAATATCTGTATTCACTCTGATTAAGACTACACCTGTAATCTACTCCATCCTCTTCAGTCAGGTGTGATATGAGCAGAGAGAGATTTCCTGAAGAGTGATCATTAACCAGCTGAAATCTGTCTTTGTACTGCTCACTCTCAGGAGATATCTCTACCCAATTTGTTTCATTTGTGTTTTTCTCCCATGTGAAGGTGCCAGGTTTGGTGTGGAGGTCAGTGCAGGAGCAGGGCAGCAGCACTGAGCCTCCTGTGTATGCAGTGATGAGTTTTAGGTCACTGTTTCCTTCCAGTCTGCAGCCTGTAGGAACAAACCAGTTACTGATCTGTTAATGAGCAGTTCACCATCTGCAGCAACTCTACACAACTACAGACAACCTGTAACTCCAAACCTCACACACATCCACCACTCACTAATGTCCACCACTCACACACATCCACCGCTCACTAATGTCCCCCACTCACTAATGTCCACCGCTCACTAATGTCCACCGCTCACTAATGTCCACAACTCACTAATATCCACAACTCATTAATGTCCACTACACACTAATGTTAATAATTCATTATCATCCACAACACACTTATGTCTTGTTGCAACATGATCTGATTAATGTTTACAACTCTGTAATGTCCACCACTCATCACGGACAGACTTTGGAAACAGAAACACACACTGACCAACTGCTGCACCGTGTCTGATCAGAATGAACACACTGTAAAGAACACATTCACACACTCACTATTAACACAGGAAGTGCAAGTTTAGCAGTATGGCATTGACCACATAGATGTGAGAAAGTCAGAACTGAGTCTATGCTCTGAATACTTATAAATCATCTAATTCCAATAAAATATCAACTACTGTTCATTTTCATGCTTTAAACAAAAGCACTGTGATGTTGCATTTTTCTTTTCTCCTTAGACTCATACCTTATTCATATCTTTTTTTTTTTTAAACGAGACGTTGTGACGTCATCTGCAGTCTACTGCATTACTGATCTGAGTTCTCCATCTAGTGGCCTTTCATGGTTAGTGCATCAGAGTAAAGCTTATGATGATGCATTTTATAATAATAATAATAATAATAATAATAATAATAATAATAGAATTAATTATTTATTTATTTATTTATTTATTTATTTTTAATGTAGGCTGCTAACAGACATTTCCTTAAAACAATTTACAAATTTACAAAGGACTGCAATTTTAATGATTCACCTTAAAATAGTGTGTGTGTTATTGAATGCAAGAGAAGAGAGCGTCCATTGCTAAGAATTGAACAAAATTTTAATAAAGCAGTAGACCACTAGTCCATACACTTCAGCGTTCAGTACACTTCAGTAATCTGTATGCTGAAATATTTTATACACTTAAATATTACATATACTTCTGCATTCCATATGCTTCAGTATATGTCCAATGTCCACAACTCCTTAATGTCCAAAACCCATTAACATTCACAACACACTTATTTCCACATCTCATTAATGTCCACTACACACTTATGTCTACAACACAATAACTTCCACAACATATGTGGAAGTTTTGTCATGAAAATGGATATGAGCACCCTTCTGAAGAGCTGGGCAGCTTTCGAGTGCAGACAACTGCTCGGCTTAATTCAGGAAAGAATAACGTCTAATGGCGTCAACAACCAGGCTCTCCAGAGTGATCTTTGATCTGCATTAATTGCTACAACACCGGCCAGTCAAAGAGAAAGAGGTGTGCAATTGTACTTTATTTTTAAACGCTTTTAACAGAGCAACACCCAGCATCATGCACAACTACTGTCAAATAATCTTGCAGTATGGCGACAAGTGCACAGCACACAGTTACAGCCCTGTGGTTTCCTCAAATGACGTTTCTACTGAGACAGACAAACATGTTTAGAGGCTTGTGACGCAGGCAATAACAGCAGAAAAAAAGCAAACATTTCTCAAATTTATACAAATGAAAGAGATTATTGAGTGTCGTCAGTTTGAATGTAAAAGGCTCTCATCATACGTCACACCCATGGTCATGTGTTAATCCACAGAACACAAACTACACAATGCTCACATGCACTTTTAACTGAAAACACAATGTATGAAGTTTCAGCAGGAATTTAACTGCAATTTATGAAGAGTTGAATTTGACATTTACATTGAATTTAACTTTCAGAAGCAAAAAATATATATCTAGGACAAAGAATTAAAGCTACAACATGGCTAGTCTGTTTTAATCTCGTGTAACTCAGGCACTGAAACTCTGCATGTATTTTACTCTGAACAGCTAAACCCGCTTCTATTTTAGTGACACACCACCAAAGAGGCCAACTGCTGGTGAAGGAAGTGACGGTGTGAACACACCACACGGGTTAGCAGTTTAGCAACATCATCCACCCTTTCTGTTAACAGCGTACACACCCCAGTGTTTC